TAGTAAGAACTTGAATATTCGCCAAAGTACATGATAGTTCTAGAAACGTTGCGTCATAGTAGTCATGTGACTGCTGACGCAACAATATACAGAGGGGGAAGGTGTATTTACATAATCAATATATAACTGTTAATTAACACGTTTTAGACCTTGTAGAGTGTGCAGAATGTCACTCTGAGAGGAAATGTGGCAGAGTAGTGAAAGAGTTAAGTCCCAGTCTTGTCATAATGAGATGAAACAAAATAGCATTACCTAGCTTGAATATTAATTATGTTGGCTTTATTGTTCGTATTTTTTTCGGCACATCATTTTAAATATTCTTTTCAAGAAATTTAGGTCTCATTTCCCTGAATTCTGGCTACAATTCTGTAATGCTACCTTAGACATTTTGATTGTGCAACTGATTTCAATAATTTGTGGATTCAATGAATTCATTTAGAAATAACTTGAATTACTTTATTTAAGGATCGCTAAATGAAAATGTAATGAAGACCGCAGAAATACTGTAGCACCATTATCGAAGTAGTTCATCAACAACTAGCTCCACAGTTATTCTCTTTATGAACAACTTTACAGCAAGACGTTTCGACCACAGACCTTACTAAGTTATTAATAGACAATTATCTTCAACTTTTCCAGAGTGTGTACTACTATTATGAAATTTCTAACATAACAATTGACCGTTACCAGTAAAGAAAAAAAAATCGCTTTCCATAATTTTAAATGACCAAGCATTACATGAGAATGGATCAAGACTGAATGAAATTACTATACTTGTGTTACGACAGCGGAAGTCACGTGACGCTAGTAACACGTCATGAACTTCTAGAACGTTCACGTCCCTTCCTGAATGCTCTAGCGTTTACTAGATTCGGTATTATTTTATATATAAGACGGTCAAGACGTGACGGCAACAAGGGGTAATTGAACTGCGGACAGAGAGAGAGAGACGTATTGTTGAGTCGAGCACGTGAGACGTTCGTTGTGAATTATAGCGTTTGTTATAGCGCGACTGTGGAAATTAAGTGTATTGCAAAGCTGTATTTAGAAAGAATAAGCCAGTTTTATTTAAGAAAGGACTTGTATCGCTAAAGTTTCTTCAGAAAGAAATTATACGGAAAATTATCTAATAACAAATTGGTGTCAGAGAGTGGCAAATCAAACTACACCTTAGCAGACTTGATGGCAGCAATACAAGAGCAGCAAAAGAAACAAGAAGAACAAGAAAAGAAACAAGAAGAACTAAAAAAGAAACAAGAAGAGGGATTACAGCAGTTGTTGGAGGAAAAAGAAAGGAAACAAGAAGAACGAGAAGAGAAATTACAGCAGTGGTTGGAGGAAAAGAAACAAGAAAAAAGAGAAAATAAACAAGAAGAAAGATTACAGCAGTGGTTGGAGAAGAAAGAAAATAAACAAGAAGAGAGACAACAGGGGTTGCAAGAAAACCTGCAACAGTGGCAACTGGAACAAGAAAGGAAACAAGAAGTAAAAATGGAAAACATTAGCAAATTTAAAAGCGAATTAGATACATTAAAGGATGATTTATTGTCTTTTACACCATCGACTTAATCAGCCCCAGACAATGGCAAGCCCCTTCCAGACCCCGCAGCTAAACCCTAATGCAGACATTTTCAGTCCTGTTAGAAGTCACATCCCAGATATGAATGTCAGTAATAGGAGTGATCCAGTACGAAGGAAGCCACAGAAATTCGATGGGAAGTCACCGTGGGAAGCATATAGAGCACAATTTGAGCTTCTGGCAGAAATGAATGGATGGACAGAGGAGCAGAAAGCAGTATATCTGGCAACGAGCTTGAAGGGACAACCACTGAAAATACTTGGGCAGTTGTCGGCAGACGACAAGCACAACTATAGAGCACTGGTAGCAGCTCTAGAACTCAGGTACGGAACTCAAAATCAGTCTGAAGTCTAGGTTTAGGACGAGAGTCCGTGCTAAAGGAGAGAGCCTGCAAGAGCTGGCACAGAACTTGGAAAGTATG